CCCTGGCCCTACGCCTTGGGCCCACACAAAATCTCTTGTCCTTGGCAGAGTAAGCGAATTGTGGGCCAGATTATCCCAGCCATTGCCACCACTACAGCAGCCGTGGCAGGCCTGTTGGGCCTAGAGCTGTATAAGGTGGTGGGTGGGCCACGGCCTCTTAGTGCCTTTCGCCACAGCTACCTACATCTGGCTGAAAACTACCTCATCCGCTATATGCCTTTTGCCCCAGCCATCCAGACGGTGAGCCCATGATACCCCACCCTTAGCCCCACTAGGCCTAGGTTTCCCCTGCACCTGCCCACACAGGCCCCAATCTAGCTGCCAGCTCTCACTGAGACTCAGACTGTGCAGGAGTCCTGAAGACTCCCTCCAGCCTTCTTCCTGCTATGAAGCCAGGCTGGGACCCGTCAGACACAGGAAGCAGCCGTCAGCCATCCCCACCCCCAACCCTCCAAAGCCCAGGATCTGGGGGAGCTGCAGCTTTAACTCATTAGTGGAGCCAGACATCCCCTACAGTCCCCTCCTTCCTTGGAGTACCCCTGAGGGGTAGGTGGTGGGGAGGGGACCAGGGCCTCAGCCCCAGAAAGAGTCTAGCTTCCCCCTGCATGGTACAGGGGCCCTGGCCTACCTCCTGCAAGCTGAGTTAAAGGGTAATAGGCTTGCCACTAGAGGTGTGGCCGTCTGCAGCCCTGTGTTTGTGTCACAGCTGTGAGTGCATCCGGGGTCTGGGTATCCCTGGAGTGTGGGTATGGAAGGAGCAAGTTTGCACATCTGTGTGTCAGATGGGAGTGCAGGGCTTCCATCTTCCTGTGTCCTCAATGTGGGTCTGCATGGAGATACATGTGGGCACACATGTGTGTGTTCCTGGGCTTGTGGGGATTTGTGTTCTTGTGACTGCAGGGCTGTGAATGCCTCCAGCCATGTGCTCAGGCTCTGCAGCTGGCATTTCCTTGGGGCAAGGATGGGGGTAGAAGGAATGCCCTCACGAAGGGAGAGGGCAGAGGTCATGGGCCAGCACTGGGCTTCTGCTCAGCAGCCTGGGGTCTCTCTGGACATAGTACACAGAGCCCCTTTGTTAAGGCACCCTGCCTCTAACCAGCACACAGGCTGCCTTTGTCCACGGAGTGGAGCAGGGCAAGGAGAAGCCCCCATCTCACCTCTAGCCTAGTCTCAGCTTGACCCCAGTGTTTTCTTGGGGGCTGATAGGCACCCCCTGTCCTTGTCTCTAGATACCTGCTAGCTGCCCTTCTGTCCTTAGCTCTAGGTACCAGAACCCCAAGACTCTTGGAAGGAAAGAGGGGACAGGAGGAGGAAGCCTGTATGCATTGTATCCCTGCTGGGGTCTCTGGGACAGTGGGGCCCCGGTGGTCACTGTGGCCTTTGCCCGTGTCCCAATGAGTAGCCCAAGGCACTGGCAATACATATAAGATTGGGGGACAGGATGTGCCCCTCAGCTCCCAGCCTTGTCTCTGAGGAACAAGCAGCTTTATCAGAGGCTGCAGGGGCCCTGCTGTGGGTTTCCTCAGGAAGCACCACCCCCTCATCCCCCACCCTCACGACTGGCCCATGTGATGGATCGTCTGTTTCCCTGTGCGGGCCCCATAGCCCCATTTCCTGTGCTGGCCCCAGCCTGGGCGGGGAGGGGGCTGAGACTCTGGGCCCAGATCCCACCTCCCCCCCACCCTCCACCCCTTGGCTCCTGCTTCCTGCTAGTCCAGCTCTTCCCCTAGGAAAGGCTGCTGGTAACTGGGATGGGGGTTGGGGGTAGGTAAGAAGTCTCTCACTCCTCCTCTACCTCATTCCAGTTCCATCACCTGAAGTGGACCTGTTGGGACCGTCTGAAGGTACCAGCTGGGCAGCCTGAGAGGACCCTGGAGTTGCTGCTGGCTCATCTTCAGGTGTGCCCTGTCCCTACCCCAACGCCCAGGCTCAGCCCAGCCCGGCCCAGCTGGTGTCTGACCTTTCTCCCTCTAGGAGCAGCACGGGTTGAGGGTGAGAATGCTGCTGCACGGCCCAGCCCTGCTCTATTCCGCCGGATGGTCGCCTGAAAAGCAGGCCCAGCGCCTGCCCCTCAGGTGAGCCCACCGGGGCTTTAGACAGGCCCCACCAGTCCCTGGAGGCTGGGGCTAGGGGCCACACAGCCTTCTGTCTTCCCAGCCCCATTCTGGGCTCCTCACATCTTCCCAAGCATTCTTTTGCCAAATGGAGCCAGCAAAAAAGGCTGGAGGTGGGGTGAGGGCCGAGAGCCTGAGGAGGAGTCTTCAGGAGCTGCCTACTTGGCCAGCCCCATGGGCTCCCCACACGCTGCACAGCCCCCCTTCACAGCCCACTCCCAAGGGACCCATAGCTTCCTGCCTCCTGCTTGCCTCACCAGCTGCTCCTAAAATAGTTTCAGATGTTTCCTGTCTTGAGTACCTCTTGCTCCTGGCTTGGGCTCCTGATGGCCTGCCAGCACCCTCTCTAGTCCATGCCAGGCTGCCCACTGCCTACCACTGCTCACCTCTCCAATCTCCCCTAAACCCCACCCCCACTAGGGTGACAGAACTGGTTCAGCAGGTGACAGGCCAGGTACTTGCTCCTGGGCTGCGGGTGTTGGTGTTGGAGCTGAGCTGTGAGGGTGAAGAGGAAGACACTGCCTTTCCACCTCTGCACTATGAGCTGTGACAAGGCAGCCACCCCGTCACCTAGCTCAATGGAGCCCTGGATCCCAAGCACTGCATTGTAAGCCCACAGTAGGCACTCAATAAATGCTTGTTGAAGGAAGGCATAGTGGAGAGGATGGATGATAGAACACAGTGCACTAATGCACACAGGTGTGACATGGGCATGACAGGGACCTTCACACAGAGACAAAAAGCTCTTCAGATTTGTCTGCCTGGGCAGTGCCTCACAGGGCTGGGGCTGCCTCTTAGTGCCTCAGGGGTATGAAGCCAGGACAGTCTAGAAAAAAGGCTTTTATTGTCCCAGGCTGGAGGGCAGGGTCAGAGGTAGCTGACATCATTGCAGATGATGGGCTGGCGACTACGGCAGCTCATGAGGGCTGCGAAGCGTGAGACATCCGCAGGCATTTCAGGTTCTGGGCGAGGTGGGCATGACAGCCGCTTTCCTGCCATAGCTGTCCGCCGAGCCCTGGCCAGCCGGCGCCGAAGCTGCTCGGAGAGGCCAAGCAGGAACTGAGGGGGCCGAGCATGGGCACGGTGCCCACCTCCATCACCTCCTTCACTCCCTGTCTCAGGCAGCTCCATCCAGTTGTGCACCAAGTCAGCAAAGCAATTGTCCCCCAGTACCAGGGGCTGGCGACTGCGACCCCTATTCAGTAGGGCTGCTGTCCAGTCATCTGCTTCCAGTCCCTGCCAGTGCTCCAGGCAGGCGTCTGGGGTGGACTTGGGCCGTGGACGGTGGACAGGTGGTACACTGGCTACAGGGGCCCTGCTGGGCATGGGGAGGCCACTGACTGAGAGGCGCTGCCTACGAAGGGGCTGTGCTGAGGGTGCTGGGCGCTGGGGAACAGGTAGTTCTTCCTCTCGCCATGTGCTGCCTGACACCTCCGAGAAGCCAGAGTCCCAGTCCAGGGCATGCTCCCTGGGGCCTCCCAAGGCTGCACCCCTGTCTTCTGTCACCACTGCCTCTTCTTCCTCCTCCTCCACACAGCAGACTGAGTCTTCTTCCAAGGCACCTGAGGCCCTAAGCTGGTGGCGGGGCTGCACATCTGGGCCAGTTTGGGGGGTTGGCTGCAGGGGACCAGGCATCGGGGGTGAGCCTGTGTCCCGACCACACAACTGAGGGGAAGAGAGGGCAGAAGTCAGAGAGGTATCACTTGTCACCAGGTCAGCCCAGAGTACAGAGGGTCCAGGAGGGTTAGATAGGCCTGCTGGCCTGGGCAGCAGGGTGCTAGTGAGCACAGGGCAGGCATGGGGTGCTGGCACTCGAAGCTGGTGTGGTTCTCATTCACCGACCTGGTGGCAGTCCGGCAGGCTGCAGCACGCAGGGCTGGGCAAGTCGACACCCGCCACCAGGGCGGGCGGGCAGGCAGTGTTGTGGGCCTAAGCAGGGAAGTAGGTCCTGCCCAGGACTGGAGGGGGATTCAGCTCCCAAAGCCCAAAGCGTTTTTCACAGAAAGAGCGCTTGCTAGGTGAGGGGTAGAGAAGGGAGGCATAGGCCAGCCTGAAGCAGGGGGCGTTCACAGCAGTGCTAGCACCTCGTTAGTCCCTTGCCGCCCCATGCCCCACCCCCAAAGAAGTCCCCCTTCCACTCTCTCCTCCCGCGCCGTTCCAGCAGCACGGCCAGCTGGATGCTGTTATCTGATGCTCAGCGCAGTTCCCAACCCTCCGAAACCCGACGCGGACCATCTGAGCCATATGAGCCGCGCCGCCCCTACCCCGCCTCGGACGGGCACGCTGCAGCCACCCCGCACCCGTCTGCTGCTCCGGCCGGGCAGCAGCCTGGCACCCCGCACGCGTCCTCCCTAACCGCACCCGCTCCCGAGCCTCACCAGTTCCCAGCGGAGCTGGCTGAGGAAGCTGTCAAGCCGAGCGCTGTGCATGTCCGTGCCGGGGCCCCAACTGAGCCTACTGGCTCCTCTGGGAACCCCGGCAGAGCCGCGCGGAGAGGGCTGGGCGGGCCGGCCAGCGGCGCCCTCAGCCTCCGCCTGGCTGCGCGGCTCCTCGCTCTCCGTAGCTCCCGCCGCCGCCGCCCCGACATCTGGCAGCCGCGCCCCGCCCCGGCCCCACGGCCAAAAGGGGAGGGGCTAAAACCCGGCGTCCCTGCCGACTCCGCCGCCGTTCTTGTGGGGAAGGGCGGGGTCGTAGCTGGAAGCCGGACGGGGTCGGGCCCGGGATACCCAAGCCCCCAGATGGTTGAGTGGACCCTGCTTTTGCTGCGTGACGCAGGACAGGTCGCCTCCGTGCGGGGGCCTCATCCTCCCCATTTGTTCAATGGTGAAATAGCGGTCCCTCTCACGGGGCGTCATGCTGCGCCCGCACATAGGCAGAGCGCCCCGTATGGTCGGACCCAGAGAGGTTGTGGCCCACTCGGGGCCTGACCCACGGGACCCATTCCTGAGGCTGGCCTCGGCACTCCCTGAACGGGATGGAAGTGGGGTTCGGCCTGAGGACTCAGAGAGGGTGGGACTTTGTGGCAGCGCACTGGCGGGGCCTCAGCCGCGTTCCAACCGAGCTAGACGGGACTGCCCTCTAGTGGGGAGTGCTCGGCTAGTCGCGAGTCCAGCGGCGACACGCGACCATCGGCATTCCCTCTGCCGGTACCAGGTGCAGACTGAGGGTGGGTGCTGGGGTGAGCCTGTCTCCTGAGGTTGCTCTATCAAAGCAGGCTAGGCTCAAGAGTAGTGTAGCTGCAGACAGACTGGACATACCAGCAACAGGAAAATACCAGGGAATGAGGGCCATGGGCTAGCCTGGGGAAGGGCAATCTCAGAGGAGGTGACATCAGGATGCAATCAAGAGGAGGGGCATTCTAGGCAGAAGGAGCAGCCAGGGAAAAGACCCCGAGGGACAGGAGCTGGACAGGGCCAAACATAAAGAAAGCCCAGGTGTCTGTGATTGGTGGTGGTGGCAGAAGGGAAAAGGTCAGCAAAACCAGGCTCTAACGGCCTTAGAGCAGAATGTGGGTTTTGTTCTTGGTGTGATGAGGAGCAATGGGGGCCTCTGAGCAGGAATGACCTGGGCTAGCTCTTGTTTAGATAATCCCAGCTGCTTTCAGAAAAGGATTCTGCAATAAGAGTGGAAGCCCCTGCCCTCATCCAGGCAACGAAGGGGAGGGCCTAGGCCTGGGCAGGGCAGGTGCACTGAAGGGGGGTCACTTTGGGGTATGCTTTGGAGCTAAAATCAAGTCTTGCTGATACATGGATGTGGGCAGGAAAAGAGGCATCAAGCATGACTCCTACATTTCTGGCATTAACAGCTGGTTGGATGAAATTGCCATAAACTGATCTGGGAAAGACTGGAGAAGAGTGGATTTGGAGAGGAAAATCCAATGATCATTTATGGACATGTAATCCTTGAGATGCCTGATAGACATCCAAGAGGAGTTGCAGAGTCAGCTGCTAGGTGTATGACTCTGGACTTCAGGACAGAGATCAGCACTGGAGCCTTGGATCTGGGAGGAATAGTGAGTGAAAGGATGGTATGTAAGGCCATAGGCCTGGATGAGGTGGGGTGGGAGGAAATGAGTGTAGAGGGAGACAGCAATCAGGACTGTGCCCTGGGACATTCCACGAGGTGGAGGTAGGGGAGATATGAAGCAGAACTATCAAAGAAGCTGAGCAGAAACAACCAGGAGAAATCTGAGAATGTGGGGACTCAGGAGCCAAGGGGAGCAAGCATTGAATGCTGCCGAGGCAGTGAGGGTGAAGAACAAACCACTGGATTCGGCAGTGCATAGGTCATTGGGAACCCTGACAAGGGCAGTTTTGTGTAGAGAGGGACAAACCTGATTAGAGTGTGTGGAGAAGAGAGTGAGGGCTGAAGAACTGGAGACGGCAAATAAAGACAACCGTTTTTTTTTTGTTTTTTGTTTTTTTTTGAGACAAGGCCTCACTCTGTCGCCCAGGCTGAAGTGCAGTGGCATAATCTTGGCTCACTGCAGCCTCGATCTCTTTGCTTAAGTGACCCTCCTATCTCAGCCTCTCAAGTAACTGGGACTACAGGCATGTGCCACCACACCCAGCTAATTTTTTTTTTTTTTTAAGAGACAGGGTTTCACCATGTTGTACAGGCTGGTCTCGAACTCCTGATCTCAGACGATCCTCCTGCCTTGGCCTCCCCTACAGGCATAAGCTACTATGCCTGGCCAGAAAACTTTAAAAAATGACATACAAATACAATAAATGGACAGATCTCAGAGTTATAGCTCAATAAATGTTAAAATCTGTAGATACTTGTGCAGCTGCCACCCAGATAAAGATACAGAATATCCTCAGCAACTCCTGGATGCCATCTGATGTCCTATCCAATTGATATTCCCAACGGTAACCAGTATTTGTATTTCTATCATAAAGGATTCCTTTTGCTTATTGGATGTAGACAGCTTTTTTTTTTTTTTTTTTTTTTTTTGAGACAGGGTCTTGCTCTGTCACTCAGGTTGGAGTACAGTGGCATAATCATGGCTCACTGCAGCCTTGATCTCTTGGGTTCAAGCGGTCCTTTTACCTCAGCCTCCTAAGTAGCTGGGACTACAGGCCTGGATCACCACACCCAACTAATTTTTTGTAAAGATGGGGTCTCACTTTGTTGCCCAGGCTGATATCGAACTCCCAAGCTCAAGTGATCCTCCCACCTCAGCCTCCCAAAGTGCTGGGATTACAGATGTGAGCCACCACACCCAGCAAGTTTTCAGAGATTTTGTTGATGGTTGGGCTCATTTTTTATAGGCAGATAATGTTCTAATAGAGGGGGTCCAGCTGGAGTTGAGACTCTGTGGGGTAGCAGGTCCTGGGCCCAATTTTCCTGGGTGCTGTGATTGCTCTATCTCCAAGGATTGCATTACCAGTTTCCTCATCTGAACCTTAATCCTCCTCTCCTTCCATGCCCTCAGAGTTGTAATGAATGAGGGCAATGGAAAATGGGATATTCTGAGCCTCTGGAAGCCTGACAGAGGTCTAGAACTCAGTCACCAGGAATGGGCGGGGATAGAATCTGGGAGGCCCAGGAGTCCCACCTGCCCAGCTATGTTTGAGCAACTGACCTGGCAACAGAGTGAGTCAGACAAACAGCCTAGCTTTCTGAAGCCTCCTCTGCTGTCTGTGTCTTCAGGTCATCCTGGTGCTGCTCAGGCTCCTCGTGTTCCTCTTTGCTCTGGTGGTCTCTGGTGAGGAGGTGGTGGGTGGGGGAACCCTAGTTTTCCCTTGGAGTCCTGACCCTTCCCAGATAAGCTACCATGGAGGACAGGGATTGGGGGAGAGGTAGGAAAGTATAAGAATCTGAACTCCTGGCCCTCACCCCTTATCTTGGCTGCTTCCTCAACCAAGTTCTCACTCCCCATCTGTGAAATGTTGGATGCTGGATATAAGGAAAGGCCTTAGCTGCGTGGCCCCGTGGCATGGTCAGGCCCTGTAGCAAAAGGACAGGACTATGCTAGTATATGTGGTTCCATCAGCCTGGGGGGTTCCATCAGCCTGGGGGCCTCCAACCTGAATTCTCTGCTCTTCACAGACCTCTGCAGGTTTATAAATGTCTCTGAGAACCAGGGCCCTGGCACAATCCTTCAGTTTTTCTCCTTCAACTGCTCCTCCTACACGCCCACACCCACCCTGGAGTTGCTCAATGTCCAGCCACCCACCACCTTCTTCAACCCACCCAGCTTGGCCAGGTGGCAAGGGACCTATGTGGGCAAGGTAAGGTCATGTGTACAACTGGGGACTGTGGGGGCACAAAGGCAGACCTAAAATTTCCAAGCCCCACATGGCACTGCCCACCTACCCCAGTTAACCCTTGAGCAGCTCTGCTCGGTTGGATGCCCTTATGGTGAACCACTACAAGCTGCAGCTGAAGTTCACATGTGGCAACCATGTGACGGAGGGATCACTCTCTGTGAATGTGCATTGGGACCTTAGCCATATCCAGTGTGCTGGTCAATTTGCCAGCCCAGGTGAGGCTGTCAGCAGGGGTGGGCAGGCATGGCCTGAACAGATCTTCCCTGACCTCCACTCTGGCCAACTGCGGAAATGATTCAGGTGCCAGAGACAGTCACACCTGGGGCTCGGCTGTACGCTCTGCTCCTCCCAGACTTAGAACTCCACAGAGCCCAAGTGAGCCCAGGACATGGGATGGTGGGTGACAGGATGGGGGCAGGGGGGATGGAGAGAATAAATTAACCCCTGCCTGGCCAGGCACAGCCTGCAGAGGAACCTTGCAGCAGAGGCACAGATGAGCCTCTACATGATGCATGTTCTTGGAGAGAGCTGCTGAGGGCTGCTCACTCCCCAGTGACCATGGCTGTTCCCACAGGGACATCTCAGAGGCTGAGTTCTTTCAAGATCTGCTATGTGTTCTCAGTTCTCTATGACAATTCTGTATCATTTCTGTAATAAAAAAAAAATATATAGGTAATGGCCAGGCACGGTGGCTCACACCTATAATCCCAGCACTTTGGGAGGCTGAGGCAGGTGGGCTCAGGAGTTCGAGACCAGCCGGGCCATCATGGTGAGACTCTGTCTCTACTAAAAATACAAAGATTAGCCGGGTGTGGTGGCATGTGCCTGTAATCCCAGCTACTTGGGAAGCTGAGGCAGAAGAATCACTTGAACCTGGGAGGTGGAGGTTGCAGTGAGCCAAGATTGTGCCACTGCTCCAGCCTGGCTGACAGAATAAGACTCTGTCTCAAAAAAAAAAAAAAAAAAAAAAGTATTTAAAAACAGTAACTCGCTTAAAAGCAAAAAGGATTGAGGATTGTGGCCAGGGCTTGGGCTGGAAGGAAGAGATTGTGACCAGGACCTGGGCTGGAGCCCAGGCTGGGATAAGGGTCAGTGGTGAAGCATGAGAAAATTGGGTGTGAGGCTGGGCGCAGTGGCTCACACCTGTAATCCCAGCATTTTGGGAGGCCGAGGCGGGTGGATCACTGGAGGTCAGGAGTTCGTGACCAGCCTGGCCAACGTGGTGAAACCCTATCTCTACTAAAAATACCGAAATTAGCCAGGCATGGTGGTGGGCACCTGTAATCTCAGCTATTCAGGAGGCTGAGACTGAAGAATCACTTGAACCCAGGAGGTGGAGGTAGGCAGGCAGGCAGGCAGGAAGGAAGGAAAGAAATAAATTAGCTGGGTGTGCTGGCACTGGTGTGTAATCCCAGCTATTCAGGAGGTTGAGGCAGGAGAATCGCTTGAACCCAGGAAGTGGAGGTTGCAGTGAGCTGAGATCGCACCACTGCACTCCAGCTTGGGTGACAGAGTGAGACTCTGTCTCAAAAAAAAAGAAGGAAGGAAAGAAAGAAAGAAGGAAAGAAGGAAGGAAGGAAGCAGAGAGAGAAGGAAAGAAAGAAAAGAAGGAAGGAAGGAAGGAAAGGAAGGAAGGAGGGAGGGAGGGAAGGAAGGAAGGAAGGAGGAAGGAAAGAAGGAAGGAAGGAAGGAAGAAAGGAAAAGAAAAGAAAATAAGTTGGGTGTAGGCAGGTGCCTGCTGGGTTGCTGGAGGGTTGCTGCTGGGTTGTTGATGGGGGTGCTCAGGGCACTTGGGGTTGAATGGGGTTGCCAGCATCTCTGTTCTGTCAGTTGAGCATTATCAGTGCCCAGGACCTGCCACACTTCCCTGTACCTTTCTCCATCAATGAGCAAGGTTGGCTGCAGGCACCATCCCAGGGCCTCCTAGGCCAGGCTCGAAAGGTGAGCATGACCTGGAATCTGGGGGTGTCCATGGATTGGGTAGAGCTCCTACCTTTTAGAAATTTGTTTATTCTTGGCCTCCTTGGCCTCCTCAACTAACACTGACTTTCTCAGACCTGGACCTGCTGCTCCATGCTGGTTGTCCTCCCACCTTAGCTTGGTTCTGTGCTGGGCTCTGGAGTTCTAGAAAGAAGAGAAATCCCTCTCTCTGGGAATTCACAAGCCCTCTAATAGAAAGAAATGTGTTTAGGGCAATCACACAGTAAAAGAAAGTCTTGGGTAATGGCCGGGCATGGTAGCTCACCCATGTAATCCTAGCACTTTGGGAGGCTGAGGTGGGTGTTGTCACCTGAGTTCAGGGGTTCAAGACCAGCCTGGCCAACATGGAGAAACCTCGTCTCTACTAAAAATACAAAAATTAGCCGAGTGTGGTGGCACATGCCTGTAATCCCAGCTACTCAGGAGGCTGAGGCAGGAGAATTGCTTGAACCCAGGGGATGGAGGTTGCAGTGAGCCGAGATCATACTACTGTGCTCTAACCTGGGCAAAAAAAAAAAAAAAGTTCTGAGTAAAGGGGTCAGTGCAGTCTGGAGGTGGCTTTCAGCAACTCTAAGATGATAATTCACATTGTCAATGATTCAGATATCACTCTTGGGCTGTTTGCATCCTAATGGAATAATTTATGGCCCAAAGATATGGGGCTCAAAGGAATACTTGTCAGCAGAGTGACAGGTCATGGGGATCATGGGAAAGAATGGAAGTTGAGGCTTCTTTTGCAGATCCTAAGTGAGATTGCCTATTGAAGGGGAGGACTGGGCATAGACAAAGAGGTGGACACACACACACTCCGGCTCCTTTTCTGTTCTGGGTGCACCACAGATCTTCCAGCTGCAGATCTTCTCCATCGGTCATGATGAGAGGTGTTGAGGGAGGGGCGGGTACTGGGATGCCTCTGTGGCTGGTCCAGAGGTGACCCATAGTACCTTTTCACCTTCCTGTTTGGGGGCCTGGTCTTGGAGAAGGCAGCAAGAGGGCCAGGCTCAGCGGCCTCCTTTGCCTATGGATCTGGTGGGCTGGTGGGAGTGGGACTGAGCTGGGAGCGGGGCTGATCTCTGTGTTCCCTGACCCTCTCACCCCATGCAGCAGACAATGTGGTCCAGACCACGATGCCCTGGAGTTAGCTCACACCCCAGGCACTTCGGTTTCCAGGCTGCAGGTGAAGGCCTTTGAGCAGCACCAGCTGTGGGCCAGTGCCAAGCTCAAGCTCACCATGAATGTGCGGCTGGTCAACCTCTGACCTCCACGCTGCCTCCCAGTGCTTCTGGTGTGAGTACACAGGAACCTTACCTGGGCTGCTGGGGCCACAGCCATGACTCAGGGTGCTGCCAGACTCCCGCCTTGCTGCCACAGCATACTCTCAGGTTCCAAATCCCCGAGACTGCACCTGTGGGCGCCATGCTGAATATTCTCACTTGTGAAGATCTGGACTCTGTTGATGCCACCCTGGACTACAAGCTCTGGTTCCACAGCTCTTCCAACCCTGCCAGCCTCTGCCTTTATGACAGAGTCCTTGAGGTGCCCAGTCCCAGCTCCCAGACCCACTTGCAGGGTGCTTGCAGTGGGAAGGCGTGGGTGGGCCAAGGGTCTCTGAGAGCTGAGACCATGGGAGTGGGGGTGGGAGGGATGGCTGTTGAGCCAACCTGTGTTGCAGTCTGGAAAACAGGATCCGGGCAGGATATTTGTGGATGCCCTGGCCTGCAGCAGCCCCGTGTGGCTCAGGGCTCTCTCAGGCCCTGACTGGACCTCACTTTCTAGTCCCTTTGGCTAGGTGAATGCCACACTGGACTGTGACACTCCTGGAACCTGCTTCCAGCATGCAGCCTCCATCCTGGTGCTCGATTGTGGCCAGCCCCAGATGACCAGTGAGTAACCATACCCGGCCTGGACACCTAGGACAAGGCTGTTCTGTCCTCCTGCTTCCCATGCTCAGGACAGGGTCATCTCTCCTCCTTTAGAATCCAGTAGGGCAGGGTTGTCTCCATTTCAGACCCTGAGGATATATCTCTTAGACCCCCAGCAGGGGATGGCTTCTGCCCTACCTTTAGACCCTCTCACTCTTTAGACCCCCCAGGGCAGGGCTCCTCAGACCCCCAGTTCAGGGATAGGCACCCCAGGCCAGCTCCTTGACTGCCAAATGACCTCCAGCTGAAGTGCCGGTACTGGTGATGGTGACACCCATCAACGAGTTCTCCCCAGCCTGTGCCCCTCGCACATTCCAGGTTCAGGAGGATGCAGTGCCCCACACTCTGCTGGGCTTTGTGGTGGGCATGGATATGGATTATCCTCATGACAACATTGAGTACTACACCTCTGATGGTCCTACCACCTTTGCTGTGGACAATCTCAGTGGTACATCCACCCCAGGGCTTGGATGGAAACGGCGAGCCAGAGTTGGCTCTGCAGGCTGAGGCTGTGGTCTCCCCTTCTAGGGGAAGTTTACCTTCTGGGACCTTTGGACTATGAGCAGCAGAGGCTGTACAGGCTCACTGTCCTGCTGATTGACCATGGCCAAGAACAGAACCCCAACTATCACCGCTCAGGCTCCTGTACCATTACCATCAAGGTTGAGGTAACTGTGTCCTAAGGCTTTGGAAATAAATACTTGGAAAGATAGGAGTTCACATCGCCCTGTGGTGTTCTGTTTTTCCACTCTGTGCCTCGGTTTCTTCCACAAGTTGGCTGGAGAGGAGTGGGGCCTAATTGTGGAAAGCTCTGGAGCCTGTTGTGTGATGCTTTGATCCCTTAATGCCTAGGCTCCGGTTGTGGTGAGAAGAAGTTGAGGGGCTGACTCGGAGGTTTAGGGGGTGGGTTCTACCCACTCCTAACCTGGTTCCTTTCTGCAGGATGTGAATGACCATGCCCCCGAATGTGAGCCCCCATTTCAGGAACTCACCATGTATGCTCCTCTGGGCTGTAGTGTGGAGGTGACCAGAGTGTCATGCCGGATCCCTCAGGAGCCACAGCACCTGACCTATTCCTATAGCATCGTGGGAGGAAGGGGACATGGGCACCACCAGGTTGTGAGTGAGGGGCAGGCCAAGGCCAGCAATGGTCTCTTCCTCCTGTCACTCTGATTTCAGGGAATAGCCAGAACTGATTCATCCTGCAAGAGGCCATCCTGGTACACAGTGACCTTGTGTTGGGGCCCTTCTGGCCACAGCAGCCCTGTACCTATGAGCTACTGATCTGTGTGGCTGATGCAGGCCGCTCCACCCCTGACCTCAGCACCACAGCCACCATTATTGTGCATCTAGTTCACCGGAGGGCCAGCACAGTGGCCACCAGCACCCACAGAACCACAGTGAGGAGGCTCCTTGGGCCCTCAGTGGGGTGGGAAGGGTGGACCTTGGAAAGTGAGGAGACCCAGTTTTTCGGGTGGAACTATGGGAAAGGCAGTTCAGAGGGAAGTGCTGAGTGCAGAGAGCCCAGAGGTGTTGAACAGCAAATCACGGGTGTGGGGTGGCCTAGCCCAGGGAGGGGTTGGAAGGCTGGATGGTCAGGGCATTTTGGCAAGGCAGTGGTGAGGCTGTGGCCTCCTTTTCAGGTGCCCTCAATGATGACACCCATGCTTGTGACAGACACAGAGACTTTCTGGCAACCACAGCCCTGATTTGTGGTGGTGTTGACAGCAACTGGTGCTCTTCTCCTCTTGGCCCGAGACTGGCTTCTTGGCAGGCTCCTCCAGGGGTAGGGATCCTATCCTTGTGCTCCCTACCTGCCCCCAACCCACCTATGGACCCCAGTTGTGATGGGTGGTTTCACCCAAGATTAGACGACAATGCCCAAGTGGGTGGGTGACAAACTGATATTGAGGAGGGCTGCTCTCCCTCCAGAGGTCTTTAAATTAGGGTCAGAGAGACACTGGGAGGAAGCAACTTCCATCACCAGCAGAATCCAGTCTTGAAATGGGGGGAGGGTTGATAAGCTCAGGGCTTGAAACTGTGAGTCTGTCATGCATTGGGCATTTACCCCTATTCCTGACTTCTGCCCTCCACTGGAAAGCTTTCCTGCTCCTGTAGACTCTGAAGTTCCTTGTGGACATAGGACTGAGCCCGGGGAATGGGGATGTAATGATGTGGGCACTGCATACAGACACTGGTTATTCCCAATAAAAGGGGACAGGTGAATGATACTGGTTCCTGGAGCCAGTAGGCCTACTGCCTTCACTGCTTGGTTACTCCTCCTGGCATTTTAGGTTGGCCCGGCTGCTGCAGGCACCCAGCAAACCAGCCCAGGTTTTGCTGCTAAACAGGTCAGTCTCCTTTGCATACTTCTATGCCTGGGAGCCCATCTCTTAAACTCAGGTTAGGGCCCAGAGCTTTGCCCTGTACTTTTGCTCCTACTTTGCCCCAGCATCCAGGGAACTGAGGGATACATCGAGGGTTTCATGGAGGCACCGAAGATGGAGATGTCCCAGGCACCCAGCAGCATCATGAGTCTGGTATGTCAGCTCACCATCTCAAGTAGTGGGCACCAAGGCTGCTCCAGAGTACTCCCCTGCCCCCACCAAGCTTGCCCCTTTTCCCGTGAATGGCTATCCCTGTGGAAGTGCCCACACTAGCACCATAAGGATGGAGGAGGCAGGTGGGCTTCTGGCCCCCTAGGAGCAGGTCTTCATCTGCTCTCCTGTGGGCAGGGTTCAATTCATTGCACCTTTTTTTTTTTCCCCTCAGCAGCATTTTGATGGTAGAGCACAGGACTCCCGTGAGTCCCCCTCTTCCTAAACTATTCTCTGCCTGGGCCCTCACCCAATCTGAGTATCTCCTCCTCTCTTTACCTCATCTCAATATCTCCTCCTACTCCCAGGAACCCACCATCTATCTGCTTTTTTCCTGAATGGGGTCTGCTCTCACCCCCACTCACCCTTCATCCGTCCTTTGTCAAATATCTAGGGGGTCAGAAGATGACTCATATCTGGTCTGGTCTCTGCCTACAACAGGAGGAGGGATGATGGTGAGGGGAGAGGCCCCCAGATAGTCCAGTGTCACCAGTGAATTATGGGAGAGTAATCTGGCATTGGCCTTAGGGAAGCTGGTATCCAGTGTTGGAGAATCAAGGAGGCTTCCTGTGCATTTGAGACAGAGTTCAGAGAATTTGCTGAGAAGGGAGGGAGGGGACAGGTTAGATTCCAACGAAGGTGGGGTGTCACACTGAGGGTCCTGAAGGAATGATCTCCTACCCTTAGGTAAGAGGAAAGGGAGGCAGTTCTCCTGGGGCCAGCAGCATCCCCCGCTCTCCTCTCTCTCCTACAGGTTTTAAGTACAGGAAGAGACTACCTGTTTAACACACGCACAGGAGCCTGGCGCTGGTTCTGAGGCCAAGTAGCTGCTTTACCATGTGTGGAATTTCTTTTTCACACCATCATGGGCTGTGTTTTCAAGCTGATTCATAATAAACAAAATTACAAATAGAAAAGTTCTAGCCTTGTAGCCAACACGTGGGAGAAGCTCTGAAATCTGTGCCTCCTTGTTCTCACTTGGAGAACTCCCTATCTTGTGAGCAGACTCTGGGGAGCAGTAAGGTTTTCCTTTTCTTTCAGGTTTTTTGTTTGTTTGTTTGTTTGTTTGTTTTAAAGACAGGATCTCACTATGGTGCCCAGGTTGGAGTGCAGAGGCTATTCACAGGTGTTATAGCACACTATAGCCTCTAACTCCTGGCTTCAAGAGAGCCTCTCATCTCAGCCTCCTAAGTAGCTGGGACTATGGGCGCAGCACTGCACCTGGATTTATTTTTCTTTTAACAAGGTATTGTATGATGCTTGGACTGACAGTGTGACTGATGCTGTATAGAGATAATAGGCTATCATCCTTATCAGTGACTGAGGGGCCTCCAATCAGCATATCTACTCAGGGCCACCTACTTCCTTTTCCTATCCAAAAGAGAGAGAACAATGGTGTGTGTGTGTGTGTGTGTGTGTGTGTGTGTGTGTGTGTGTGTGTGTGTGAGTGAGTGAGAGAGAGAGGAGATAGGGTCTGGCTTTGTTGCCCAGGCTGGAGGGCAACTGTGTGATCTTGGCTCACTGTAGCCTTGACCTTCCAGGTTCAATCCATCCTGGCTAACAGATGAACCCCGCTCTATAACTAAAAATATACAAAAAAAATTAGCGGGCAAAGGTGGCAGGCGCCTGTAGTCCCAGCTACTCGGAGGGCTGAGGCAGGAGAATTGGCGAAACCCGGAGGTGGAGCTTGCAGTGGTGATATATCGCCCTGCACTCTGCCTGGCGGACAGGAGCTGAGGACTCCGTCGTTCCAAAAAAAAAAAAG